CAGGCCTTCTTGGATGGTCTTCCTTTTTGCCTTGAGACGTTCGAGACTGTCAGGGTCAAGGAGGCCAAACCTGGCCGAGAACCATCTTAGGGTATTCCATATCCCTTGGAGTTTGTGTGGTGTGATCTCCTGGTCCCTCAGGGTGTTCAGAAGAGATCTAATATCACTTTCTTTCCAAGGAATTGTGTTGAAGCCCAATTTCTGGATGCTCTCGAAGCAAAGGCAGTGAATACGCAAGGTCCTGAACCTGGTGTCTCCAAGGAGGTCCAAGTACTCCTGGTGAACATTGTCCCCGTGGACCGCATGCAGGTAAGGGATGTCTTTGGCAAATGGCAGAAGGAGCCCAATGATCCTTTCTGCCCAGCGGTCTCTGAGGTGGAGTTCTAACTTCCTTTGGGTTGTAGCCGACTCTTCCTTGAGTCGCCCAGGCTTCCAGTGCCTCCATTTGGCCTCCACAATGGCCATTATGGGAGGCCGTGCATGAAAGGCTCGCCATCTAGCCCGGTCCATGCTTTCCTGTTGCTGTTGAAGGGGTGTGTGGAAGGCTGAATCAGGTGCGCCCGCAATCAAAGTGAAGAGGCTAAAACATGCATCATAGGTCCTATCTCTCTCTTCTGGGGGCGCTGGTTGTGGCACCCGGTTCATGCAGTCTGCCACAAAGTCTTCCATCCAGGGCGTGGTAGCCACCATCATGGAGTTACTGTGAGCCACGTTCATTGGGTCGATGTCATTGCTGGGGTGTACCCGAGAGGTCCAGGTTCCCCCATCCATGGCCTCCGGATGGTCCGGTGGCACTTGTTGCATGCAGAGCTGCATGAACAACTCCCCCTCCGTTTGTGTGGGGAAAATGCCATGGTCCAGCAGGCTGTCTCGCATGTGTTCAGGGAGCCGAACCATTGCCAGGCCAAAGGGTGTTCTACGCACAAGATCGGGTTCCATGATGTCCCGACTCTACTATGGCCAAGCCTGGCCCAAAAAGGGTACTGCGGGTGTGCGGAGCACTAACACGTGAAAAAGGCAAGCAGGAAGAACAACACCGAAAGCCCAGGAAAAACCATCAGGGTTGCAACTGGACAGAACTGAGTGCAAGTCACATGGACATCTGTCACATCAGCGTAATGGGCGAAGCCCGAAAGGATACCAATAACATCAAACCAAGGTAAAACATGGTAAAACGCAGCAATGTTCCAATAGCCACATGCTGTAAATGATTCTGAGGCAGCCACATGCAGGTTTCCCTTTTTACTGTGTGAGCTGGCATCCCAGCGGTCTGGCCCCTGTCTTGGCCCTTGTCGTGGTGCGCAACCAATGCTATTCATACAAAAAGGAAGGTGTCTGCAGAACCGAGTGGTGACGTTGGTGCAAGACGCTACCAGGCCACCAGGTCAGTAAAAGCAGCCCCTCGCAAACACTCAGCTCTCAGGCCGGCTGGACTCGGCTCGCTGCCAGCGCGTTGATCTTCTGAAGGCCTTCGAGGTCCGGGTTGCTCAAAAGGACCGACCAAATGGCGTTGGAAACATTGCCATTTCCATTCTGGCATGAAAACTTCAAGCGCTGGGTGTGGTCAGGGTCAATTTCCAAGGCCACATCTCGCGGGGCCGCAGTCGGCTCCACTCGCTTGTAATACTCAAGCCTGGACTTCACCCAGCTGTTGTACAGCTGTTGAGGTGGCTCGTCCAAAATCAGTTGGAGGTTGACTTTGACTCCCCTGTGCTCTCCAAGCAATTGGACAAAGCGGGAAGCTCCTTTGCCTTGTCTCCAAAAGCCCTGGCAGGCCTTGCAGACCCAGCCTCCACGAGTCACTCCAGCCTCTTTCGTCTTCAGTTCCCAGGGACTGATACTGCTGAGGATGAGCCCGCAATCGGTGCGGCCCCAAAAGGCATGGACTCCCCGGTGGCCGTAGTGCTCCCGCTTGTACTTGGGGCTGCATATGGACACCACGTTCTCCAAGGAGAGCTCTGGGTACTTACCGGTGCCCGAAGCTACCGTAGTCGCCTGCAGAGCCTCCGGTTCCAGCGCAGTCTTCAGGAAGCCATCAATCTCTGCCTGGGAGTAGCCCAGACGGCAATAAAAACTCTCCGCCTTCTCATGGCGAACCAGGGCAACCCACCATAGCTCACAGTTGCACCGCCAGGCAACTTGCACTTGCACCATGCTGTGGGCCCCCAGAGTGGCTGACAGCGCCTGGAAAACGTCCGGGAGCTGCCTGAAAGCATCCAAGGGCAAGGTGATGCGCTCATCACAAACCGCTCGAAAACGGAGCTGCTCCTTTGTGTCCTGGATGTCCTGCTCGGGCAAGTCCAAGACCACCGCTGGGGTTCTGGCTAAGAAAACCGAAGCAGCCAAAAAGCTGCCAATTTCCTTGTAGAGCAGCTTGATTTCATGTTGTGATTGGGGAAACCGGAGGCCCACACTGGTGAGGAAGGACTTGATCTCTGAAGTCCTCTGCCGGTGTGCCGCCAACTCTGCCACCTTCTTCTGGCGGATGCCTTCCCCATGCCCTCTGCGCATCGGTTTGACGATCAGCGGCATGCCACACCAAGCCTGGTAGATCTCCTTGAACGTCCAGGACTGTCCAAGCATCGTGATCATGGAGGGAAGGTCCCATGATTGCACCCTCCGAACCAGGTGGGTATCGTCGGTGCCAGAAGCTACCGCCGTCCCCGGGGCCCAGAAGAAGCCAATGATCTTGTCCAGGTCTGGTCGCTTGCCCTCGGCAATCTGTTGCAGGACCACCTGTTCTGTGTAGGTTTTGGGCGTGTAGAAGGAGGTGCCCAGCGGGTTTGTCCTGAGTTCCAAAGCCAAGACCTCAGCCGTAGGTGCCGGTTTCGCCCAGGCAGGTGCCATGAGCGGGCCCTGTCGCAGTTCCCACTCTCCGCCCCAGGCTCTGACTTCACCTTTGTGGTACTGCAAGATGGAGTCAAGGATTGCGTACTTGCGTTCCAGGCTGTCCGGCGGGAGGAGTCGTGCTAACTGGGCCTCTTGGGAAGATATCATCTCCGTCCCCGTGGTGTACATGTCGAGTTGCGTTTTGGGGAACTCCATCATGAGGCGGTCTTGGGACAGCGGAGGCTTGTTATCCTTGATGAGCTCTTTCATTCGGAGGTAGGGCTGCTTCAGTGCCTCCATGTCAAATTGTTCAGGGCCCTGAGGTCCCATGGCCGGCGCGAAGAGGTTGTTCTGCCATGCCTCTTGCAGGGCCGGGGTCCACAGTGAAAAGGACGCCACTTCAATGGGCTTGAGGGCCTTGCGTCGGTCTCTGAACTCTGTGTCCAGGGCCTTGTTGGCGGCCGCCGCTTTCTCCTGTGTGGTCTGTGCCGCCACCAAAGCCTCGTAAGAGGAGGTGAGACCACTTTCTTCATGTTTTCTTTTGAGGTAGGACCGAAACTGCTGGAGGTCAGCGTGGCGGAGCATCTTGGCACTGACCGGATTCTGGGTTTCCTGTGCACCCTGCTGGATGGCAGTCAGTGTATGCAGCTCATCTTCCATCGCCACAGTCTCTTGCTGGTGTTGAATCTCTTCCTCCTCTTGGCCTCCTGTGCCGCTTCCGTAAGCTCTTCTTCTGGTGTTGCCAGCAAGTCCACCTTGAAGCGCATCAGTTCAATGGTCTTCGGATGAAAGATCACAGCAGTTTGAGTAGAGTCTCTATCATCCATAGTGGGGGGGCGTTCGCCATCTGGATGAAAGATCTCGTCCTGCCCGAAGGCCACCACGTGCTGCTGCAGTGTCATGCGCTGGGAGGCAGGAACTTGCTCCGAAAAGCTGACCAGCCCCGTACCGGCGCCCGAAGCTGCCGCAGGGGGAGGTCGGCCAAGATCTCCCACTTCCACAAAGCCTGAGGCCTTAGTAACCTTAGTATCTGTGGGAACCCAAGTCGGTCCCGCCTCAGTGAGCCTAAGTTGCCAGGACTGGCCGGCCACCTCAATCACTGACAAAGGTGTCATTGACAGGTCAACAGGCTGAGTGCCTTGACAAAGCAAACATTTGGATAACTGTCCCCACGGTGCATTGCAATCAGAACAAACTAATTGCGGAGAAGTTCCAGGGTCCTTCTCTTTCAAATTCACCATGGATCCCCCACGCTGCGTGGTGTGCCGGAGTTTCAACATCTGTGTGTGGACAGCCTCGCGCTTCGAAATGTGGTACACCTCTGCGATCTTGACCACCAAGGATGCCGTCCACGGAGAACTGCGGAAAGCATCCAAAAGGGAACGCAACTCACCATGCGTAATGTCTCTGAAGTACTTGGCAGCCGAGTGAGGCAGGGCTGGAATCAAAGGTGCCCAGCCTTCGATGGTGAAGGTCTCTGTGGTCGGATCCATGTGGAGTGTCAACGTCTCCTTCTCTAAGACCCGTGATGTCTGGGTCGGAATCTGTGCCTCTGCATGGACGAAACCCGACGGAGGTTGCCCGCTTGACGCTTCCACACTTGTCTCCGGCTTGGGTTCCAAGCCCAAGTTTGCCATCACTTTCTCCATCTCATGGAGCTGCGAAGCCAGAGTCTCCCTGGTGATGGCGGGATCATCTTCAATCTCTGTAATAACCTCGGCCGGCGCAGCCTCGGTCACCTGGGTGGAAAGCACCATGTAATCGTCCCCTGCGTCCAAATCTGTCCCAATCAGCGAGAAAGAGCCCACGGTGCCAGTCTCACTAGCCACTGGACTAGAAGCCGCCATGGCCAAAGAAAAGGATCGGAACGTGTTTTTTCGAAAGTATTGGATCGCAGGGGGAACAGCTTGAGCCAAAATGGCATAGCCATTTTGGCAACTATATCGTCAACACATTACTTGCTCTCCACAAGTTCCAAGCAAAGAAACAATTAGAACATGCCAACCAAATATAACCCACTGCATGTGTCCCCAGCCAATTACCCTTCTGTTTATAAATTGTTCAATTCATCACGTTTGCTGCACCAGCTCCATGAGTCCCACAAGTGCAACACAGTGCAGTGGTGCAGTGGTGCAGCGCAGTGGTTTGGACTATGTGACTATGTTGGACTCCTTCGTCCAGGCAACTTCCTGCCAAACCTCTCTGGAAAGATTCCCTGTCAGCGACTCTGGAGAGAGTTGGGTCGTCTTATAGGCAACATACCTCACCAAGGCCAAGCGCGGCATGGATGTCTATTGATGTCGTTAGGCTGGAGGCAGGCACTTGTCACAAGTGTTTTCCGAAGCGGCGTTGAGCAGTTTCGCAATTGAAAGCTGTGTTCTCAGGGCCAGACTGTTCTGGATAGATTGCGCTATAGCTGCACTGGGCATGTCCTCACCAACACCGCAACATCTACAAACCTTACAAAGACAAACAAAGGACACCTCCAAATTGAAGGTCATTCTTACTAACCTGTGGTCGGCATGTAGGTTGCAATGACTCTTCATATGGTAATACATCAAACACAACGCGACATCCTTGATTCCCTTGATGCGCAATGAGCGCTCCATCTGCCAATAGCCCCCATGCAAATAGCAGCCACATGGGCATCCATGTGATTTCGGAGCCCAGAAGTAGCTGCTTGGCTCCAGGACTGGTGATGTTAAAGGTTAGTGCTCGTGACAAGACTGCGCAGCAACAATTGCCTGACATTCTGCCTTTTCAGCCCTGTGTATCTGAATGGTCTCTGGTGATCCCTGGTAATTAGAGCATTTCACTACGAAACCGAGAATATTCAAAGGGAGCAGCAATGGGCAATGTTTGTTTCCATGACTGTATTTCTGAATGTGCATCACAACTGCATACACGACTTGCGGCCAACAGCGGTTGAACGAGCCTGCGAGTCATCATTCATATCCATATCCATCACGATGCAGAAATTCGTTTCCACAGGCCTGAACAAATCAACCGAACACATGTCACAACCTTGTCAAAACAACTTGGAGAACTGGCAAAAGCGTTTCTTTGTAGACCAAGATCCAAAAGGACAGCCATTTCTAGCTGTTGAGGACTGAATCACTACTCAACCAAAGCCAAAAGTCAAGAACAATGTAAGCGAGAAGACTGACACACTGATGCCTTGCATCAGCGAGAATATTCGCAGAACTAGATCACTTGGCAATTCCTGCTTCTCGTAATTCAGGATTCAGTTCAAATCAAAAAAATGTGAGAGTCAGACTCAACGGACACAATGCCGGAGCTGGTCCATGCTGGACTGCACAATTTGCATAATTGAAAAAAAAACGGTTTGGTTTGGAAGCAATCTCTCAAATTATTCGAATCAAATGAAAATGTTGTAAGCTGTAGGACTTTCACACATTTGATGTTTCGTGTCAATTGTTGTCGGTTTCTTGGTTTGGCTCACAAAAACTGTTGATCCATGACACAACGATCATGTTAAAAACAAAGCACAACCGTGGGTGTAATGTTAAAATCAAAGAACTGTGACTGCAGTGCACGTGTCTGATGTGGAAATGGCCACGTACCGCGGATGCACTACGACAATAAACCCACCAACACAAAAGTGAAATTTAAATTTATGTTTGTCTCACATCGCACAATTTCCGCTATTGAGATGTTTTGGCATGAGGTTTGATAATGAGATGCACTGTTGTGAAAAACACAAATTGTGGCCCGCACCACTCCAAATTACTATATTGCCATGGTGCCCATTTACGAGTCTACACTGGATGGGTTTGACGGAAAACCGTAGCTTGGCATCACTTTGCCTGCGCAAGGATGCCGACGCAGAAACGCCTCCGCATTTACGTTCACCTTCGCACATGTTTTTCGTAAAGAATTGTGTTTGATTCAAGTTGTGCAATGCATCCTGCTTTTGCAAAACACTGGGCGAAATATTTCGCGGCACAAAAAAATGAACATTGCCTTGTTTTCACAAAGTTTTTTTTGCATCGCCACAAAACCTGATGTTTTGATTCAAATGTCAGCATCCAATTGGCCCTGTCAAGTCAGATAGAAGCACACTTCACCGCATGAATTTGTTGTGTAGCCTGTGGTTGCCGTGCAATCAGCACACTGCATTAAATTGACAGTGCCCCAATTTCCGTCGGGTCGATGCCTCAAGTGCCCAACACAACAAAATACTTACGACCCAAATCACTTGACGAACTACTGGGTTTGTTCTGCAAATGACTGTGTGGAAAAATTTCAAAACTCACCCACCAACCCAGGTTCCTCCTTTCAAAATCGCATTCCCAACCCTGTTTTGCAGGCCAGGAATCAGTTTTTGACTTTGCAATTTACACACCTTCATAACAAAGTGTAGTTTAGATTATTTTGTGGAGGGATTGAACGCTGATGGTTTTGTAGGCATCTTTGGCTTGAATTTGGGGGTTCCGTTTTGGTTAGTTGAAGTTCCCAAAACCATGTTCTTTCGTAGATATCGTTTGTGTAAAAAACAAATGACCGATGGTAACGTTCTAATCACGAACGGTCATTGCCAACGGACCCAAAACATGAACATGTGTGTTGTTTTCGTTGTTTATTGGTCTTGCCTGCACATTTTGCGTTTGCAAAAGCAGGACTGTCTTGACTCACATTTGTTTAAATGTTGTTTTCCGAAAAAGTTTGTGCGTCAATCAGAACCAAACCCCGATTTTCACCCCCCAGACAATGGGGACAGGGATGCGAGTTCACCAATGCCAAAGCACAACCCAACAGCGACCCCCATACATATATACAACGCATCCAATCCAAAACAAAGCGAAACACTATTTTTTTCTACACAGACCCTAGGACATGGGTCAATCGTTTTTTGCTGTTCAAAAAACAAAAATATGTAACAATAAATCCCTTGCGGCATTTCTCACAAACATTGGCAAATTTGTTTGCGCGAAACCGCAAACCATTTTTACCAAACCCAAAACCCAGTACAAAATTGCCAACCATCAATGAGTTTCAGTCAAACATGACCATGACATAAATTTGTTTATAGATAAGAGGAGCTTTCAAGCGGAACCCATAGTTTGCAAAACACATGGTTTGCATATTGATGTTGTTACACGGGTTGCAAATCACATCGCATCAAGGTTGAGTCGAGACTCAACGCCGCTTATTCATATGCATATTTCTTGCATGTATACTATCCACATTATATACATGTATACGTCGAGCATCAAACACATGCATATTCATTTATATATATAACATATATCATACGCCGTCGATACATCGCCGAGTAACAAAATTCAAAACATCAAACCGAAAACATGACATGCACAACAACATCACTGGCTAGATCTGAAAGAATGTTCTGTCGCTCACTGTCCTTTTTGCTTCGCCAGATGAGGGATTCGATGGATTTGTTTTTCTCACAGTGTTTGTGAGTTGGTTGCTTTTCCAAGTTCTTGGTTGCATTTGCCAAGACCTGTGTCTGCCTTTGACATCCAGTACCCCTGCATAAGGGATTGTTAGTTTCAGTGGTGGGTGGGTGGGTGGCCTGAATCCAGGGTTTTCTCGAGAAAGGTAAGACCAGCATCTATCTCGTGCCAAGACCTTAGAAGGATCTCAGACATGAGCAGAGAAGGTATGCTCCAGACTGTGAAGACGTCCGGTGACCCCATACTGCACGAGCAGCTATATGCAGCCACCCAGAAAGAAGTTGCCAAAGGCTTTTTGGTGGGCCCCCTGGACCCTAACAAACTCCCTGCTGGCGCCAGCCTAACCAGGAGATTCGGCGTGAGACAGAAGAACAAAACAAGACCTATAGACGATTACAAGGGGTCTCTTGTGAACTCTAGTGTTTCCCAGAGTGAGACCGCTACTGTGCACAGCGTTGATCACATAGCTTCAATGATCGCTTACCTCTTGAGGATGTCTAGCCAAAGAGCACACAGGTTGGATCTTGTGGCGAGACATGGGATTTAGCAGATGCCCATAAGCAGATTCCTTTGAGGGACCACGTTTTTGATCATGACGCCTATTTGGCTGTGTATTGCCCTCCATCCAACAGCGCAGAGATTTATCAACAAAAAGTCCTGCCGTTTGGATCTGTGGCATCAGTCACAGCCTTTCTTAAAGTGGCACATGGAATTTGGAAGATAGAAAGCAAGCTCCTCAGACTCACATGGAGTTCCTATTTCGATGACTTTTATCAACTGTTCAACCGCTGCAGAACCAATGTGACTGCGGGTCACAAGAGTTTGTTATCTTCATTGCTGACATCACTGTGATTGGAATTGCAAGCACTGACTCAATGACTGCGTTCACACTTTTAACCGCTGGGGTTGCACGATGGCCTGATGTTCAGGCTGAGGGTCTGGCCTCGCAATACATCGTCTATTGGTAGACGAGGCTTCGACCAAGAGCTGGATTGGTACGACGCTTGATTGGCAAGCGAAGGCATATACGACGCTGGATGGGCCAGCGAAGGCATCGGAACCCAAACTGCCAGGGTGGCAGAGGGTGGGGCAGTTTGAAAATCACACAAAGAAAAACATCTGTAAACATTTTGGCAAGTGAAAGACATCTGTAAACATTTTGGCAAGTGATGGAGTGAAGTTACATGGAAGTGGGTTGACATAATTGCAACATGTAAAGCAAGCATCCCAAATGACCGTTTGAACCAAGCAGCTGATGTGCATCCACATCTTGAATGCGTTGATAAGTCGCAATCATGTTTGACCGCTACATTATCAACTGTTCAACCGCTGCAGAACCAATGTGACTGCGGGTCACAAGAGTTTGTTATCTTCGTTGCTGACATCACTGTGATTGGAATTGCAAGCACTGACTCAATGACTGCGTTCACACTTTTAACCGCTGGGGTTGCACGATGGCCTGATGTTCCCCCCATTTTTCATATAAGGCCATGAGTTGCGACCAGCTGTCAAGGACATCTATTGGATATTCTTTGGCACCTAGGTCTATGACTTTCTGGCAGCGGTATCTGGATGGCCCATCGGCCATGTTGGAGTCGGTTGGTACTCTTGCATACCAGGGCGTAAGTTGAAGTTTACATTCAAGGGCCATGGTTGCCACTAGGAGTTTCTTGGCAGTTGCATTTCTAGAACTGCAAGAAATGAGGGAATCACGAACACCATTGTTATCTGTGAAGATAACAACTGCATTCGTAATCCTCTCGCCCCATACCAAGAATGCACAGTAAAGAGCGAAGAACTCACACTCAAAAATGGCGTTCTGCTTGGCTGCTTCATTAAGTTTTTCAATTAGCTCTACAGGCAACTTTTTCGAGAAATAAGAAACGGGTTTACCCTGGGGATTAAATAAAACCGCTCCTATTCCGGCATCAACTGTACCTGCAACCTCATCATATGAAGCATCCGTTTGAATGAACCAAGGTTCACAGCTCGCTGGTTTCAGCTCTCTGGGGCGCCCATCAGCAAGCAAATGCCTGTGTAGCTTGATGGCTATCCTTGCATCCTGCGACAAAGTCGTGCCCCGCTGCAGGTAGGCATGGTTGGTAATTGCCGACAAGGAGCACTTGCCAACTCGGCCAAAAACATTGCCAGACGTGAATTGAAGCCTGCCTCTCAAACGAAGTGCTTCCTGCTTTGTCATACGTCCTCTGCTCAGGACCAAGTCTAAAAATTCGACAATTTCTTTGCTTCTGCTTGCAGTGTTTCCAAGTTGAACCATTCCAAGGTGTAGTGCCGACACATTTATGGTCACACCAAGCGCCTGAAAAAGGCTGCTGAAAGGGGGGGCTTTGTCCCCGGACTCCGAGAAAGCCCACCCAAGCAATTTGAAAAACATGTTGACGCAAGAAGTGATGGCGCCACTTTCGCACTCAAGCGCCACAGCAACGAAATCGTCGAAGTAATTGGTGAGCAAAACTTTGAACTCACATGTCAGCAGGTACCAAAGGCTATGTGCCACACGAAGGAAGCCATGAACTGAGCGCACTGCGCCGAACGGCAACGCCTTCATTCTGAAACACGCAAGCTCAAGAGAGGAAGGCCTTTGGGCGACAATGTAAGAGAATTGCTTTGAGTTTGGATTGATTGCACATTGTCTGTATGCTCCAATTAAGTCGAACGTCCGACCAACCCAGGGTGTATCGTCCGAGATTGCCCCCATCAGATTTACGCACATGGCTGCAAAAACATCTACGGTGTGAGGTTTAGGGCTCTCACACGTCTGGGCTGCACTGTTAACGGCTGACCTCGAAAAATCATCAATGCACCTCACCTTGTTGCCCTGCTGAATGCCGAAACGGCGGCTCAGTGGGTAGTTTGCTGGAACATCAGCAAGGTCAAGAGGACCTTCCAACAGGCCAGCTCTAACCTCATCCATGGTCTTTTCCCAAACCTCATTGACATGATCTGCACCAGAAACGCTCGAAAACTGTTGTTGCAGCCCCGCTCGATCTCGCACTGCAAGATCACTCAACTCCTCCAACGTCACCAACGATGGTTGAAACTTCTGGGGCCACAAACCTGTCCTTGGAGCAGGGCCAACTAAATCTGTACCGCTCTTCATCTCTTCAACCACGTCCATGTCGGGATATTCAACTGAAGCAAGCATCTCCTGCCACAGGAGGATGTTTTTGTCACGTAGGATCTGAGCAACTTCTCCATCCATAGAGGCTTTCAGCTCACATTCCTGCTGTTTGAGTGCAACAAGACGCTTAAGCCAAAAACCTAACTTCTCAGCCCTGTACTTCAAGCGCTCTTGCAACGTTGTATTCCTGTAGAAACCAATGGTGGACTGCAAAACTTCTGGCAACCCCGCAGAGACATTTGTGGGGTGTCCAAACTTCACCATCTGTTCGACGAACTGCTCTTCTGTCCACGGTATACCCCAAGTCTGGGTCTCACAGTTTCCATGCTTTTCATGACCTTTATCTTTGTATGCTGACACAAAACGATTCACTTCATCGCTAGATACATGCTGCTCCGAGACAAGACACCCCCCTTTCAAACAAGAAGGAGGCAGCAGAGATGGCATAATTTGCAACAATTTTGACCCTTTGGGTAAAATGGTTGGTGCATTTACTGTTGGGACACGCAGTTCTGCCGGAATTTTTGAGTTGATATGAAGGGCTGGCAAGTCTTGCTGAAAACCTGATAAAGAAATTTTTGCAGAAAACGTGGGTATTAATGGGGGAAGTTTACTGGCTTTCGGCTGGACTCCAGCCTGAGCTCTGAGGGCTGACAGGTTGGATGTATGCAGTTCCCCCACTGAGTGCCATGCATCAGGCGATAAGCTGATCCCACGGTTTTGCAAGGCTACTGCAAACTGAGCTGCTATTGTTCTTGCTAGGATGGTTGGATATGCTGTCTCCAACGCTGTGGCAAATCTCTGAGATGGGGCATGGATACCCCATTTTTCATGCTTGTGCTCAGGCGACTCGCCAACGCACATTCTGTTGATGATATTGAACTCAACTGCGTTGTGGCCTAACATGGTGCGCTTCGGGCGCATGCTCCCGTACATACATGATTGAAAAGTTGTAAATTGCATCAAGTGGATGATTGATTGAATGAAAGTTGTTTGCCAAAAATAACTGAATTGTGGATTTTCAACACAAAACAAGCAGCCCTGCTCTGTGGCCCATTGGACAAGGCGGGCTGTCAGGTGATACAACTTGTTCGCCTTGGAGACCTTGATACGATCAACGAACAGCAAATTGGGCAATCCATTTGGATGCTTATCAGACCTGAGTGGCCTAGGGTCACCAGGCGATTTCCTTTTGAGCGGAATCGACCGCGCTCTTGAGGCCGAACCACAGGGAGGCGCTATAAAAAGGCCCACAACATGCTCATCCGCCAGCCATTGCATTACTTGAGTTTTCTTAGGAGGGCTGGCCAGGGACAACGATGATAGACGACTAGTTGATAGAGACCAGTTGATAGAGACAAGCTGATCAACCGGGTACTACACATGTTAAAATCATTGATCAAAGGAAGTTTAGAAGTCGAACTTCCGACAATAGGTCAAAGGATGTTTTGAAGTCTAACTTCCGATATACAGACAAGTTGATAGAGACAAGTGGATAGAGAGAGACAAGTTGATAGAGACAAGTTGATAGAGACAAGTTGATAGAGACAAGTTGATAGAGACAAGTTGATAGAGACTTGAGAGCTAGATAGCTAGATAGATGCTAGATAGTAGGGACTACATAGCATGTATGTTAAATGGGAGGTCGCCTAAACCACCTTTTGGCGACGTTTGGGCTAAAACCCAGGAAAAAACATTGTTTTTGATGGCCAAAACTTGCTTCGAAAACCAACTGTTGCATCAATGGGGCCTGATCTTAATTGCCCACAATGTTAGCTCAAGTGAAGCTATTGGCTCAAACTTGCTTACTCCGATCCATATCACACCATGGCCCGCCCTCGTGGGGCTATGAAAAAAGAGAAAAAAAAAAACCAGGCCGAAGAAGAGGCAGACTATGAAAAAGGAGAAGCTGGTCATGAAAAGGGGACCCGCAGCAAGTCTACCCGGAAAACTCTGGGCAGCCTGGACTCAGCATCTCTTAGCAACTGGCCCTACGTGGGTGTGGGTTGCGGTGGTTCTAACTCACATCCTATGTTGTCGCATTACAGAGGTATCGTCTTTGAGGAAAAGAGATTTCGACTTTAAGAAGAGATGCGTCACAGTTCGGGCATTGAAGCGCCAACCCCAGGTGCAACCCCAGGTGCAACCCCAGTTTGGGAAAGCGGTTCTCAAGACATCAGTTCAACATTTCATTCTGACTAACCAACCCGTTATCAAGATATCAATCATCCAACCAAACATGGGGTTGATTCATCCAATCCAAATTTTAATGAGGTTCCCATCGTTTTTGCAGCACACCTCTCAATGCACATGGACATGTACATGTACAAATGCATGCACGCATACATAAAATATTTGTGTGTACAAACATATATATATATATAAAAACAAACATGAAATATGTGAGTATATATGCATCTGTGACCATGTATATTGAAACCGAACACGTATACAAATATGAATAATTTACATATATATATATATGTATAACATATAATGCTTGCATCTGAATATGTATGTCGTACATGTCACTGTTTATCTATAATGATGTCTGTGTACCCCTGGATTAAACAGATAGATATGTAACTTATCTGCTCTATATACTATAATCCTTCTCCCCCTGCTAGGTTCGCAAGTGGCTATTGAAGTCAGCGTTACCACTTCTTCGACGATTGCGGGACAAAGGTGTGTCTCGAACTCGTACCAAGCATGCTGGGGCACGTGGATTTGAAAAGTTGAAAGATGACTGGAAGTGGCCAAAAGACCATGGAGACTACTTGTTTCCATCTTCGTGGTCACCGATCTGCCCTAGGAACAAAGATGTGATCTCACATGCCATTGTAAAATCAAGAAAAACTTTTCAAACAACCCCAGACCAAGGGCTAGTTCACCCAGAAACCATTAGATCCCACAGCGGCCGACATCGCATGGTAAACGATATGAAAAATGCAGGGGTCAGCATGGAGGTAGGGATGGCATTCTCCAGGATAAAGGACAAAAAAACGTATTTGAATTATGGTCGCCTAGTGGAAGATCAAGTGGGGGCTGCTCTAGAGAACAATCCTGTTTTGAGGAAAACCCTCAAGTCCCTATATGGCAAGTAGTGGACCTATCGACCTGAGCATGCGAGCAAAACCTTGAGCAGCGGCTGCGGCCGCTGCAGTTGAAGCCAACTGCAGGGAGTAAAACCGAAAACAGCCTTTCCAAGACCGTTGCCGTAAATGAATTGCCGATCATCTCAAAAATTTTTCCATCAGCAACTGCCGCAGGAATCTTCACTTCGCCAGATCGAATGCCTTGAGCTGCAAGCAGCTCTTCTCTGCGAACCTTGTCCTGCTTGTGCATCAGCCACAGGCCAGCAGCATGGGATTTGGTTATGGTCGGAAGCTTGTTGTAGGTCACATTGGTTCCAAAGGAGGCTGCAGGCATGAGATCAACCACCCATGGTTCACAATACCACCTCCCTTTTTTGGACATTATGATTTGAATGGCACGGTTGACATTCCTCAAAGCAGTGTCGGACAAAGAAGTCAGGGCAATCTTGTCAGCATTGGATCGGGGAACTAGGATGCGATCCAAAGGTGGTGGGCGGATTGGCTGAGGCCAATCCCAAGACCGAACCTGTCGATCCTTACACACACCAACAATGTACACTCGTTCGCGTGATGCTGGCACATTGCCAACTTCATATGAATCTAGAATTGTCCAGTGAATTGTGTACAATCCATTGCCAATCAAGTTCAACATATCCAAAATGTCTCTGAAAATTCCGTCGAAAGAAGAAGCTCTAGCCAAGTCAGCAACGTTCTCCAAAACGAAGAACGTGGGTTTCGTTTGTTGGATTGCATCCAGGCAACCCCAAAAAACTTGAGCTCTACCTTGTTGATCATGCTGGCCCTGTCTCAACCCCTGTCGGGAATAAGGTTGACATGGGAAGCCCGAGGTGTAGACCAAAACATCTTTCGGGTCCTGTTCCATGAACTGGGCGATTGGAAACAAGTTTCTCTTTTTCAAACAGTCTTCAAAGACAATCTTGCATGTTGGGTGTGTTTCCTGAAACACTTTCCGGTATGATGGGTCCACCTCCGAAGCAAACAAATGGCCAAAAGGGCTGAGCCTGCCCAGCGCTAGAGCGCCTGCATCGAGCCCGCTGCAATCCGAGCCATAGAACAGCTTGGAGCTAGCCTTTGGCACCGGAATTTGCCTTGGCACCTGCACGATGGTTTGCTTCGCACAGGCCTGATCCTTCACATTTTTTTCACTTTCACTTTCGCGGGGGGCATTCTATCAAAACATCATTGCTGAAATTGAGCCTGAAGAGCAAACCCACTGAGCAATGCCGATGCCGGACATGAGGCGTCAGGATATGTTTGGTTGCTGCACAGTTTCTGCGTTTCAGTGTCATTTCCATGTCATAATTATACTTCATGTGTGGCAAATAAACATGTGCAAAATCTATATGATAAACATCATCAAACATCGTCATCATCAATCATCAACAATCATCATCATCATCATCATCATCCTCATCCATCATCCGTCATCCATTATCGTCATCATCATCATCATCACCATCATCCTCCTCATCCTCATCCGTCATCCGTCATCCATCATCGTCACCAATCATCATCATCATCGTCATCATCATCATGACCATCACGGAAGACACTTTTATCCGGAGTACAAAACACTAAACTCTGGAGTTAATGGCGCTGATTTCTAACAGAAATACGTCGTCTTTACTCCTGAGTTTATGAGTGTCAGAATGTGCACATCAAGCTTCCATGCCTAAACTTCAAAGTCAATCCCCTCACTCCAACAACGCTTGCACAGCACTAAACTGCAGATTTTTGTCTCCATGGAGTGTGCCCAAACGGCACCAGGTGCAAAAAAGCCAGTGAGTGGCTAAGCAAAATTAATCTGTTTCAGATTTCACTACAGCTTTCGCATTGATGGGTAGCACCGCTTCATAGACAGATAGATAGCTAGATAGTTTGATAGATAGCTAGCTAGAAAGATAGATAGACAGATAGATAGATAGATAGATAAATAGATAGCTTACATTCAAGAACTCCTGCCGGGGTCTCACCATTCCAAACTCCCTGTAAAGAGTCTTAGACAGATAGATCTCCTGCTGGGGTCTCACCATTCCCAACTCCCTGTAAAGAGTCTTAGACAGATAGATAGCTTGATAGATAGCTAGCTAGCTAGATAGATCGATAGATAGATAGATCGAAAGATAGATAACTTACATTCAAGAACTCCTGCCGGGGTCTCACCATTCCCAACTCCCTGTAAAGAGTCTTAGACAGATAGATAGTTTGATAGATAGCTAGCTAGATAGATAGATACATACATCGATAGATAGATACATTCAAGAACTCCTGCCGGGGTCTCACCATTCCCAACTCCCTGTAAAGAGTCTTAGACAGATAGATCTCCTGCTGGGGTCTCACCATTCCCAACTCCCTGTAAAGAGTCTTAGATAGATAGATACATAGCTAGACAGCTAGATAGCTAGATGGCTACATAGCTAGATAGCTAGATAGCTAGCTAGCTAGCTAGATAAATAGATAGATAGATAACTTACATTCAAGAACTCCTGCCGGGGTCTTACCATTCCCAACTCCCTGTAAAGAGTCTTAGACAGATAGATAGTTTGATAGATAGCTAGCTAGCCAGATAGATAGATAGATACATAGATCGATAGATAGATACATTCAAGAACTCCTGCCGGGGTCTCACCATTCCCAACTCCCTGTAAAGAGTCTTAGACAGATAGATCTCCTGCTGGGGCCTCACCATTCCCAACTCCCTGTAAAGAGTCTTAGACAGATAGATACATAGCTAGATAGCTAGATAGCTAGATGGCTACATAGCTAGATAGCTAGGTTACATAGCTAGATAGCTAGATAAATAGATAGATAGATAACTTACATTCAAGAACTCCTGCCGGGGTCTCACCATTCCCAACTCCCTGTAAAGAGTCTTGGACAGATAGATAGTTTGATAGATAGCTAGCTAGAAAGATAGATCGATAGATAGATAGATCGAAAGATAGATAACTTACATTCAAGAACTCCTGCCGGGGTCTCACCATTCCCAACTCCCTGTAGAGAGTCTTAGACAGATAGATAATTTGATAGATAGCTAGCTGGCTAGCTAGATAGATAGATACATAGATCGATAGATAGATACATTCAAGAACTCCTGCCGGGGTCTCACCATTCCCAACTCCCTGTAAAGAGTCTTAGACAGATAGATCTCCTGCTGGGGTCTCACCATTCCCAACTCCCTGTAAAGAGTCTCAGACAGATAGATACATAGCTAGATAGCTAGATAGCTAGATGGCTACATAGCTAGATAGCTAGGTTACATAGCTAGATAGCTAGATAGCTAGCTAGCTAGATAAATAGATAGATAGATAACTTACATTCAAGAACTCCTGCCGGGGTCTCACCATTCCCAACTCCCTTTAAAGAGTCTTAGACAGATAGATAGTTTGATAGATAGCTAGCTAGATAGATAGATACATAGATCGATAGATAGATACATTCAAGAACTCCTGCCGGGGTCTCACCATTACCAACTCCGTGTAAAGAGTCTTAGACAGATAGATCTCCTGCTGGTTAGACAGATAGATAGTTTGATAGATAGCTAGCTAGCTAGACAGATAGATAGATACATAGATCGATAGATAGATACATTCAAGAACTCCTGCCGGGGTCTCACCATTCCCAACTCCCTGTAATGAGTCTTAGACAGATAGATCTCCTGCTGGGGTCTCACCATTCCCAACTCCCTGTAAAGGGTCTCAGACAGATAGATACATAGCTAGATAGCTAGATAGTTAGATGGCTACATAGCTAGATAGCTAGGTTACATAGCTAGATAGCTAGATAGCTAGCTAGCTAGATAAATCGATAGATAGATAACTTACATTCAAGAACTCCTGCCGGGGTCTCACCATTCCCAACTCCCTGTAAAGAGTCTTGGACAGATAGATAGTTTGATAGATAGCTAGCTAGAAAGATAGCTAGACAGATAGAAAGATAGATAGATAGATAGATAACTTACATTCAAGAACTCCTGCCGGGGTCTCACCATTCCCAACTCCCTGTAAAGAGTCTTAGACAGATAGATCTCCTGCTGGGGTCTCACCATTCCCAACTCCCTGTAAAGAGTCTTAGACAGATAGATACATAGCTAGATAGCTAGATAGCTAGATGGCTACATAGCTAGATAGCTAGGTTACATAGCTGGATAGCTAGATAGCTAGATAAATAGATAGATAGATAACTTACATTCAAGAACTCCTGCCGGGGTCTCACCATTCCCAACTCCCTGTAAACAGTCTTAGACAGATAGATAGTTTGATAGATAGCTAGCTAGATAGATAGATAGATAACTTACATTCAAGAACTCCTGCCGGGGTCTCACCATTCCCAACTCCCTGTAAAGAGTCTTAGGCAGATAGATAGTTTGATAGATAGCTAGCTAGCTAGATAGATAGATAGATAGATAGATACATAGATCGATAGATAGATACATTCAAGAACTCCTGCCGGGGTCTCACCATTCCCAACTCCCTGTAAAGAGTCTTAGACAGATAGATGTCCTGCTGGGGTCTCACCATTCCCAACTCCCTGTAAAGAGTCTCAGACAGATAGATACATAGCTAGATAGCTAGATAGCTAGATGGCTACATAGCTAGATAGCTAGGTTACATAGCTAGATAGCTAGATAGCTAGCTAGCTAGCTAGATAGATAGATAGATACATAGATCGTCACCCCATCCTGTCCTTCCTTTGCCTCTTCTTCCTCAAGCAGCTCCACCAAAGTGCTGGGTATGTCTCCACGACGAAAAAGCAGCACAGCAGCACAACAGTGGAGCACCGCAGCACAACGGAGCCACATGATCATTAACAGCCACAAGCAGTTCGAAAGCTGTTTCACCTCAAGCCTATACTCCGGAGAGACTGGACACTGCAGTACCCAATGAGAACACTAAACTCTGGAGTTTAGTGAGAATGCATTGGAGGAGAAAGAATCTTGTCTTCAGAAAAAAGACATTGTGAAAGCATATCACAAGGCTGCAATTTCCTCCGCAGAAAATACATGCATATAAGTGCAAACCTTTGTCCAAACCTAAACTCCGGAGAGTAGCCATTGTAAGTTCAAGGCACTGAACTCTAGAGAGAAGTGAACTACACAAAGAAATTTACAAACACTAAACTCTATAGTTTAGAACTTGAACTCTGGATTTTAGTCATTTTCTGACCATCACCATCATCATCCTCATCATCATCAGCATCAACATCAGCATCACCATCATCATCACCAAGCATCATCACTCATTAGCACCATCACTAATATTCGTCCATCATCATTATCATCACCATCATCATCATCATCATTAGACATCAATCATCATCAATCATCATCCGCCATCATCAGTCATCATCAGCCATCATCAATCATCATCAATCATCATCAAACATCATCATCAGTAATGAGCCGTCATCATCATCATCGCCATCATCATCATCATCATCATCATCGCCTTCATCCTCAGCCATCATCCTCATCATCATCGTCATCACCATCATCATTATCAATCATCATCATCACCATCAACAATCATCCATCACCATCAGCCATCATCCTCACCATCATCAACATCATTCCCTGGCATCATGGATCATCATTTTATGTCCCTACAAAAATTGAAATCAAATCTGCACATATACACGCCTGGAAATGAGTGTACATGTACAGGCTGCACACCCACAGATCTTGTAGATTTTGCCCCTGTTCGGCACTGATGCTCCGTCTTGAGCAGGTCACGTGTCCATGAAGGAATGCTAGATTCAATGGACTCAATGGACCTTTGATCGTCATTGATCACCTAATCTACCAAAGCCAACTGTTTCATGGCTTCCGACAGTAGCAATGCGATGTGGGGATTCAGTCAAAAGCAACAACCAAAACGAACACACTACAAAAATAAAGATGAACCGGCGTCGTGATCATTTAACATCATAATTGGAGAAGACCAAAATGATCCAATCCAAGCCCACTCGCTTCGATTCAAGGCTGCACTCATCATCAGGAGCAGCAATGGGACTCAGCATCTCTAGGCAGCGTCTGCGGCCCCAGCCGCAGCAGCCTCGGTGATCTTCTTCAAGAGCTCATCTCGGCTCAATCCACCAGATCCTGAGCTTGCCTCATCTGCTGCTCCTGCTCCACCGTCTTGCTGCTGGACACCCCGTTGTTTGCCAGTGCCCTTCCCACCACGGCCGCCACGGCCGCCGCGGCCCTTCCCTGTCCCTTGGTTCTGAGCCTCAGTCACCTCCTGCTGGTTGTTGGCACCCTGAAGCTTCTCAATCAAGGCCGTGTAGGCGGAATCGTACAAGTCTTCATCATTGGGATCCATCATGGATTCCACGGTTTTGGTGACTAGCCGTTTAGTCAAGAGCTCTGCGTGCTTCTCCGTCATACACACGCCGGCATAGGGCACGCGCTTGCGGACTGACCAAGCTGCCCAGTGCCCACTGCCTGGGGTCAAGTCGATGATGGCCTTGACGCACAAGTAGTGCCCAAGCTCGGCCGCCAAAGTGTGAGGAGATTCATGGTAAAAAGCAGGAACAACGTCGCTGTGCTTGACCTTGGACTCCTGCTCGTGCTCAACAGGACACGCACCACCTGGAATCAATGGGCCAATACTTGGGTCCCATGGCCCCAAAAAACGACATAGATCTGATACAATGTTGGGTCAAAACAACTTAATCAACGAGACAACTTTCAAAAACCTGCCTGGAAGTGGCATATTTGTGGGACCCAGGATGGAGCGCTTCTGCGCCATGGAGACGTTCCACACTGCCTTCGCATCAGTCCACTGCGGCCGGGCCAGACCAGCAATGGCGTTGCCACGAGTGTTGGATTCCGAGAAAAGCCGAGGTTGAACCTAAGACGAAAGCTTAGACTCACCAAATAGGGGCAACACAACTTGAACCATAAATCCTGTATATGTTAACCGATCCATACACACATTTATGAATATCAAAAAGTACATTTAAAACGAAAGGTTTCGAGACATATGTATATGATGCAAAAAGGTTTATACCTATAAATATATATCTATAATATACATATATATATATATATCTAAATACACAGATAGTAGACAGATCAGATATATGTGGCAAGAGATGGGTTTTGTAGATACCTTGTTTTATGGCTTCGTAGATATTACTGGGCAACAAATCATACCGAACCACCAATGGCGCAGAGCCCGGCCAAGTCTGCTGCAACCGAGTGGCCTTTGCCGAAAAGCCATCATGGGTCAGCATGCTCACAGTCTCCACCATGTCCAGGGTCTGCTTGGAAGCTCTTTCAAGACGAGCCTCGCAACTTTCAAATGTGTACACAACAGTGGTTTTGGAAGCTTGCAGCTTCTTGCCCACAACTTTGGTGACTGAATCTTCAAAGGTTGGACCTTTGCCTCCGTCCAGCATGACAAAAATATCGCCCTCGGCGAGCTCGCCATCGCGGAGGGCCAAGTATGCCCCAACCAACCTTTTAAATTGGGGTTGACGGAGAGGTGGCAGGCGGTACTTGGCCTGACTGCCTGATTCGCAAGCAACCTTGCCGTCGAACACCACAGCCACATAGGATTTGGCCTCAGGGTCCCCATTCATTTGCGCAGCTTTGGTCTCACGAAGCAAGTCAGCCAAGCCTTCGTCACAGTCAACGACGAACTGAATTTGCCCTTGCACCCTGCGCTGAGCTGCACGGACTCCAGCTTCTACAGCTGCAGGGCCCTCAAAGTCCTTCCCATCAGGAGACTCTTCAGCAGCTTTGATCAAGGACTCCGGCAGCGACAAGTGAACATTGTCAGCAGCAAGAAGAGTTTGGACATCAAGTGGAGCTTCTTCCTCTACTATGTCAGGCGTGCTCCCAGTCTCTTTCTCGTAGGCCACCAGCACCTTTGACATCATTGGCCTCAGTCGGGACAGATGTCCAAGCGTCCAATGAGCAAAAGAACCCAGCAACAACAACCGACCAACCAAGCAACCAACACAAAGCAAGGCCACCACAAGCACAACAACAACAACAACAACAACAACAACAACAACAACAACAACAACAACAACAACAACAACAACAACAACAACAACAACAACACCAACACCAACACCAACACCAACACCAACAACACCAACAACACCAACAACACCAACACTACTAGCAGCAGCAGCAGCAGCAGCAACAGCAATCCCCAAACCAGAGCCAAAACCAAACCCACACAAGAAACAAAAGCAAACAATACACAACGAAAACCCAAACAAGAACAATAAACATTTTAAAGTTCAAAAGCTGAGCCAAAACACTTCACATCAGAATGGTTGAACACATCATCGGCAGTTTTGTGGTTCTTCAAGCTCTGCCCCAAGTGGTGGTCAAACTTGTAGCCGTAAACTACCGCCTCGAAAAGCTGCACGTACAAGTCTGCGCTCTCAGGCCAAGAGCCTCTGTCAGCAAATGCAACCTGAGCACTTGGATCGTCGTAGAAGCCAAAGTGGCGACGCATGGTCGGCAAGTCTTTGGTCACATCCCTGATGGACTGCTTGACCGTGGACTCCCACATGAAGTTGGACTCCATGTTCCTCCAGAGCCAATCCCTCAAAGACTTCTTGGCCAAGAAAAGGCGGATCAAACTCACAGGGTAGCGGGAACCCTCCTTCAGTTCACGCTGACTGATCTCGCAACCTTCACAGTTGGTCCACCAATCCCACAGCATGACGAAGGACCACTCCATGTGATCTGGGCGCTTTGAGAATCTTGCTTTGCGAGGAGGTTGAAAAGCTAGCTGGATTACACAACCATTTTGACCGGGTACATGCTCATCGCTCGCTGCTTACTGAGTTTACAGTCAGAAACTATTGCGGCAATAGTTTTCATCCAGAGTATATTCAGGCAGCCGTAGGACACCCTGAACGCCTACGCGACTGGCTTACTGAACCTGCGGAAACAGCAACCAAGCATGCATGGTCTGGAGTCGTTCACCCGAAACAAGCTCGCGCTCAATATCAAGCCCTGCGTGAACAAGTACAAACCCTGGCACGAGAACAACGTATCCGTGATTTCTCCTCCAGGCAAATTGGTCTTGACCCAATGCCGGAACTTCCAATTCATGCACTCGAAGGTCCCTTGGCCCCAGTCATGCCAACTGTACTCCCTAAACAATTGTTGCCTACCACCCGTAAGATTCACCCTGCTGATTTAGGCATCATGGGCAACAGACCACCATCGCAGCTTTCGCCAATTGCAATTCAGCTCCTTCAGGAAAAACAAATGCAAAGTATCCTCGTAGGAATGAGGTTTTTCGGAGCAGGAATTGGGAGAGCAGAAGATCCTACTACAATTCTTCTTTGGTCATAATCATGATGCTGTAATTGAACGCCATTGTCCACAGGCCAAGGAATGGATCTCCCACAAACTTCAATCTGCTGGACAGTGCACCTCCACCATGGCACAAATTTTGCTTTGGTTGTACTCCTTATTACATCATGAGCAAGTTTCTGTTCATTTTGTTCATATTGCTGACTGGGAAGATCAAGCACATATTGCTACCTTCGGGGACGCCCCTGCCAAATGGATGGTCTACTGTGTTCAATTTCCACGCTCACGTACCTTTCACCTTGACACAGCTGCGTGGAATTGTCATACCCGGGTTGACGTCCCCTGGCAGCAACTGCCTCACCCAGTGGTTTTCACGGCTGCACCTATCCCGTTCCACTGCACCAACCCCAACTGCATCTGGTTTGCTGTTCTTTATGGACCTAAAGGACAATATCTGATTTGCCATAGATTTATTGGCACATTCTTATATGACCAGTGCATTGGCTGCTTTGTGTCTCGTTTTGTCGAACAAGCCTCTTGCAATATCCATACGGCAGCCAGTTCTTATCCTGAACTCCATGGTTGTATGTTTATTGACAATGAAGGTAATGTCGCCGTTGCTGCTGCGCACGACTGGAAGCTTGATGACACTACAGGATACCGAACCTGCCTGATCAAAGCATCTATTGACTGCCGTGTTTTCAAGTACCCAGAGCATAGTGACACCCTTCCACATATTAATCCCATTGGGAAAATCAGTCAGGAACTCGCATGCAACTGGAACATAAACGATACTCCCCCAGATGTTGCCTTTTTTGTTTGTTCCCTGATTGAGTGTCACTAGTAACAATGCAGCACCTCGGGACAGTTGCGAAACCTCTGCTGCTCGAATTTCGCAACGCGTGGTCCCGACAAATTCGAGCGTTGTATTCACTCCAATTTATGACCAAATGTCCGAAAAACCTACACTGCCTACAGTCACTCTCCTTCTTGCCGCATGTACTCCAGATCCCCGCACCGTGGCCAATATTAGATATCCAGACAGTGGCTTATAAGTGTGGCATCCGCAGTGAATGTTTTACCCACTCTCGACAACTCCTTGCACAATCACTGGCCAACTCTTCTGAGTTTAGCCTCCTTTGTGCGGAAGTCCTCAAATATCGTCTCGAAAAGAAACAAGATTGCTGTACTGCCCTCAGACAGTTAACCACATGGAATGTATCAGGTTGGAGAACGTTACAATGGACTAACCCTAAGACGCAAGCCATTCTCCGCCGGGCTCGGCACGGCATTGTCTGCCTTCAAGAAACCAGATGGACTGCGAGTACTGCCACCAACTTTCTCCAAACCTATCCAGGCTTTAATATTGCGCACTCCCCATCGATCGCAACAGAAAACGGAGGCCTGTCGGGAGGAGTCGCCATATTGATTCCATGCTCCTTTAGACTACTACAAGAAATTGTTATCACGCCTGGCAAACTCATTGCTGCACAAGTCCAGACCAGAACCGATTGCTTTTGGGTGATTTCGGCATATTGTCATCCTAGCAGCGCTAAAGAAGACTGTGAAACGCTTGCCAGATGGCTATCTGATCATCAGGACCATCCTGACCCCTTTTTCATCGTCGGAGACTTTAATCATGGTCATCACCTCTCCCTTGATGCCTGGCACTGTATTTTAAGTTGTGCTCAAGGAGACGATATTGTCAAGGATGAACCGACCTTCTGGGGCCCAAATGGCTCGTCAGCAATCGACAAAGTCATTCTTCCGACCGAATACATGAATCGTGGGCTAATCCAACATCAGGTGTTCTATGATCGTCTTTTTGAGTCTGCTGGGCATGCATGCATATCCATCCAATTGCGCCATAGGCCGCCAGTTTCGAGTAGCTCAGACCTACCCCTACATATGACCATACCAGCCAGTGTTTTTCAACCGGGTAAGGACCGACATGATACCCGACAAGTGTGGCCGTCACTCCAATCGCTGGTTCGCCGACTTTGCTTAGTCTCCCAGCCCACATTTGAATCCCTTCAGGCAGTATTATGGCAATGGTGGATGTCACTCCCCAAGCGGCCCCGGGACTTCAATACTCTAAGGAAGCATCTCCAATCCGATCGACCACTTCTCAACATCTCTAAACGGTTGCTACGAGAGCTTCTTTCGGCCCTTCCAGGCTTCCGCCCTGCCCTTGAAGAATATTGCCAAACATCCACGGTAATCACGGTCCCTCGTACCTTCCTTTGGAAGTGTTTCGAGCTCCTTGACCTGCAGCTACAACAACAGCACCTTATCACTAGGAATAGAGATGAAACTACCCGCAGTCGTGGCCTGGGCACTAATGCCCCTCTGTGGCAGAGATTACGAGCTAGCTGCCCGCGAACTGTCTTTTATAATGGTCCTATTCTGGACGGTGCGGGCAAGCAGTGCCAGACTGACCTGGACTTGTCGGCAGCCATGCTCGCCACTCGCAAGTTCTGGTTCCAACCGCCTGTTAAATATGATCCTGAGTGGACAGATTACCTGGAGCAGTATAAAGCACAAGCCCAGCCCTGGCCACATGTTCCCCCACCAGGCGCGGAAGACCTCATCAGAACTGTCCTTGCCACCAATGATTCTTCCCCAGGTCCAGACGGAATACCCTATGCAGCATGGCGACTCCACCCTGGAGTGTCATCAGATGCGATGATCACGCATCTCAATGATATCTGTAGCTCCGCAGTCCCTCCCCCTTGCTCAGTCCAAGCATGGATCCCGAAAGCCAAAATGGGCCCCACTGCTGATAATTTCCGTCCATTGGGTATGCCATCGACATTTGAGAGAGTCATAGACGGAAGCATCGCGACAGTCATGACCAGAGCCATTGCTCCGCTCCTTCACCCCTCTCAAACGGTGTTAAATGTCTTCCGCGAACCGCAAAGTGCTGTCCAATCCGTTCAAGCTGTTCTAGACCAAGATGCACCATGCGCATGTCTGTCATTGGACCTTTCCAAAGCTTTCGAGCGGATTAACCCCCACTGGATCTTGCAAATTTTATCAGCGTGTAAAGCCCCCTGGTGGATCATCATGTATACCCGGCACATCCTCCTTTTTCGGAGATGCAGGCACAAAGTCCAAGGCAAGTTGTTACCCTCAAAAATGATTGTCACAGGCGTTGACATGGGTCGATCTTTTTCGTCCTGCTTTTTTGCGTTGCCATGGATCCAGTTTTGACCTACCTTAACCGAATCCCCGGCATGCTGACAGTCCAAGGATATGTTGATGACACCACAATGGTGGGAGATACGGCAGCAGGCATGCAATGGCTCTCGGATGCCTGGCAAGCCTGCGTACGTTTGAAATCCGCTGGCATCCAAATAGACGAACACCACTGCTGGCGAACTAGTGGGATCAATATGCATGCAGCTAGCTCTGGTCAGATCGACCAATACCCTCCATTAAACTGGACACAAAGTTTACCAGGACATGCTACATTGCGGCAAGCCTTGGTTCACAGAGCAGGTTATAGCACCACCACCATAGTGTGCCGAGCAAATTTGTTCGTGTGTCTTGCCCCAGCAGAGGTTGATTTAATATTAACCGGAGGACATCTAGCTAAAATTGACCCACTCTTCCTGGCACAGTGTAGTTGTTCCAACAAGTGCAGTGTACTGGTTAATCACCCTGCCTCCCATAGTACTCTGAATGCGCTTGAACGTTCCGACTGGGGAGCCCACCTCATTGAGGGAAAAACTACAGCGCTGGGTCTGCTCCTGTATGGTAAATATACCCGTAGTCATCAAGGGTGGACCCCAGTAGAGGAACTTATAGGCACACGCGCCATTAATCCCAAAGCCATGTCCAAAGCTAACCATCGGCTTGCCCTCTTCGCCACACCTGCTCACTCTGTAGTGCAAAGAAGCCTTGCCAATAACTGTTTTATTCTGTCCCTTAATATTTACCAAAGTACATACTTTGGTTTCACTCCAGACGACATCAATTTATACCAACAACGCTCTGCGAAACTTATTCTTGGCAGACCATGGCTGGCCGCACGGTACCTCCCACACATATTTCGGTGGTTAGGTATTGCTCCTGCACTAGACCCAGCGGTCACACTCACCGCAGCGTGCTTGGGTTATTGGCTTCGACAGAATGGCTCTACTGCCTTTCTCTCACCGGGGTACCCGGATGTAGGGACAAGGCAAGGAGCGGTTGTCCAACGCATTTTCCGCACATGGATTCCCCTGCTCGGAATTGACACAGTCGGCAACTTGTTACGCATACTTGCAGGACACAACACCAGGAAACAACACTCCCAATTCCTCCGCCAGCTGAAACTCAAACTTTACGAAGCCATCCAAGTGCATGCACTGCAATATCTACAGTCTAAAGTTAGCTTGCAGCTTCTACCAGGCGGGGTATCGTGGGCTTGGT